GGTCTGCCCGTTTCGCCAATATATTCATCTCCGCAATTATTACAAGAGATCAGGTATATCCAAAAAAAAAAAAAAAAAAAACCGTCCTGCCGTAAGGGCAAATTACGCAATTTGTTGTTTCACACAGACGGTCATACAGGCGGTTGCGAACTAATTGGCGACGTAGAGTAGCCGGTGGTATTTCAACTATCGCTACCGATTCCTCTAGACTTGCCCTTCTTAAGCATCGTATTAGCGACGCTTACTTCATCGCTTATAAAAGGCAACATAAACGGGACCTTCTTTCGGCCAAGTGTTTCGCGTGGGCGCGTCGTTCTCCTTGTAAACTTATCTCGTGGGATTACTATTTCGGAGCCATTGGAGATGGCTATTTGTCGAGCCAAGTCGCGCGACTCTTCCTTTGGTTCCCTGGTAGTGCACACAGAGGTGGCTGTTCGAAACATGTTTCTCACAGTCGCCCTCTTTGTGTGTGAAGGGTGGGAAGAAAGGAAATGGACAAGAATGTTCTTGTTATTTGGCTTTCGATAGCACTTTATCAGGTAACCACTACTTGATAGGTTTATTTGAACGTCTAAAAACGGAAGCCAGTTTCCTCTCGGTTTCTCCCGGGTGAACTTTATGTACTCGGACTGCTCGTTCAATAATTCAAAGCATTTGTCCATCTCCTCCTGCGTAGAGAAGACGACAAAACAATCATCTACATATCTGCAGTAGAGTAGTGGCCGGAGATCGAGAACAGGGGCTTCTATCTTTGACATAAACACAATGGCAAGGCTTGGTGCCAATCGCTGTCCCATTGCCAACCCCCTTATTTGCGCGAAATATTCCCCAGACCATCTGAAAATCGAGCAGTTTAGGCACTCCTTTATGAGAGCCATTAGCTACTGGATGGACAAGCCATGCATATTTATTCTTCCTTCATGTTCAACAAGAAGTTCGAAGATGGTTTGCATTGCGGAGTTATTCGACACGTTGGTGTACAGAGCGGTAACGTCGAAAGACTGCATCACGTACGTGTTATTAGGAGACGCGTTACGTAGACGTTCTAGGAACATTTGGGTGTTTGTGAGGTGAGCTGGAATGTGGTTAAGCAACTGGGTAAGTATCAGGCTTAGAAACCAGGTTATTCTATCCGTTGGCCCGTCTACACAGCTGATGATCGGTCTAACCTTAAATGATGACGGATTGGTTGACGAATGATCATCAGGTGATACCAACTTATGTGTTTTAATAAGTAGGTATAGGACGGGACATGTTGGTCTATCGATTTTAAAGTGCGAATTAACCGATGATTTTAAACCCGCAGCCTTTGCCACGCTGACCCATTGATTGCTTAGCTTTCGGTATTGAATTTATATTCCTTTTCAGAGGATGGGCGATAGAGAGTAGCATCACTAAGATGTTCCTCTGTTATTTCAACATCCAGCCGGCGAGGGATAACTACGAACTCTCCCCCTTATCACTAACAGACAATCTTATTGTTTTCGAGTTTATTAATTCTCTAATTTCCCGCTTGCCAAATTTTTGTGCGGCTGTAAGGTTAGAGATAAACCTTTTATCGCGGTAGTGATCAAGGGTCTTGAGAACGCCGTCCGAAAACACGCGGAATTTAATATCAATTCCATCTTAGGGTCCTGCTGTCTAAGGAACGTTTTTGGAAAGGAGATGGTGGTAGTGTCGCCGCCTCTTGATTTTTATCTCTATTTGATGTTTCTTGCTTGGCCTGATAGCGGAGTCGATCTTGAAGCTCATAAAGGTTGCATGCTATCCTACGCAGGGTCGTTTTAGAAATGGGCTCTGATGGTGCAAAACTTGGGCCCAATTCTAATAGCGAACGCGCATTCTCAAGTATTGTTATGCCCCCAATCACGGTGACCCTAGATTTTCTTGGTGCATTATCAACCCATTTTGACTATTATCAGAAGCGTAAGGAATTCGTTTGCGGTTGTTTCTCGCGCGACTTGGATCGGCAAATAGCCATCTCCAATGGCTACGAAATAGTAATCCCACGAGATAAGTTTACAAGGAGAACGACTCGCCCACGCGAAACACTTGGCCGAGAGAAAATCCCGTTTATGTTGCCTTTTATAAGCGATGAAGTAAGCGTAGCTATAAAACGATGCTTAAGAAGGACAGGTCTAGAGGAATCGGTAGCGATAGTTGAAATACCACCGGCTACTCTACGTCGCCAATTAGTTCGCAACCGCCTGTATGACCATCTGTGTGAAAGAACAAAGTGCGTAATTTACCCTTACGGCAGGACGGTGATTGCATGAGTTCAGGTAGGATATACCTGATCTCTTGTAATAATTGAGGAGATGAATATATTGGCGAAACGGGCAGACCTTTGTGTATCCGTATAAAAGAACACCTAGATGGCAAACGAAAACTATGACGAAGCACCCCACTAGGCACGCATAGAATGCAAAAGCATAGCGGAGACGATTTTGAAGTAAAAGTCAATATCCTTGCACAGGAGTCCAAAACACCAGCTCGAAAACTTTTTGAGGCTTTTTGGATAAATGCCAAAAACCCTACAATGAGTAGCAGGGATGAATGTCCAGAGGTCATACGCGACCTGATCCCGTATGTTCGCCTCGATTTTTGATGTGGGATGGTGCAGTCGTCAACCACATGCGACTATAATCAGCTGTTCTAAACTTCCTCATTGGAAGTCACGAAAAAGCGGTGGGTTTTTCGAGAAGTTGTTGATCATGTAATTACCAAAGAGTCTTTCGTCTTTTTGTAAGTGTTATCGAAGCGTTTGGCCTGGTAGATTGTATATCAGTATACCCTTCCAGGCTCTGAATAAGGCCATACTGCCGAAACGTCAGCTAGCGTTGTATTGTATTGTATTGTGTTTTTCTATGGAAGTAAATGTATGCTGTTTAAAAACCTCGCTATTGCTGAACAAGAAAATAGTATAAATTTGTGTTAACGTAACATGTACAGGTGAACAGCGACAAAGGAAATGAGTATCTCCAGTGGGATCCCTGGGCTTGTGCTTTAAGCGGTTATGCTGAACGGAAACACTTGGTTTCACGGTGCTGTTTTCATATGTACTGTTAATACGATGTTTAATTGTATTATATCTAGATGTCCTACTGCTGTTGCTAGCGCCTGGCCTGCGCTATTCCACAGGCTGATTGCCGTTAATACATACGTCGACCCCAGGCTAGTTCTTTTTACATGTCGTCTTAATTTTACCTTTTATCATGTTGTTGCATTCCTGTTTAAACTGTTGACCAGTGTTTGGTCTCGGAATTTTTTTTTTCTCCATTTAGTGGTTGCGCAGTATATTCATGGAGATCGCTCTTATTTTAGTAATCCACAAAACGAAAATCGAGCTTCGTTACTTCGAGGTAGTAAGAGCAAAGCGTCATCAGTTTGTGGTGAAGCACTCAGTCAAGAAGGTTGTCTGTCTCTTTGGCAAAAGTATCTCGTCCTGTGTTGCGCATTTGCCCCATCACCTAACAACCATAGCAGTTTTGTTTTTAGAAGTTTCAGTCCCACGTCATCGTAAGTTTCATTTTCTCTTGATTATCCGTTGTGATCTCATTGACCAAGAAATTATCAGTATTCAAATTCTAAGCATGGAAACCGATGTACTGAAGAGCGTACCCTCGTCTTTGCGAGTTTCTTCACGGACCCCATCAACTACTTCAACTACTTCGCTTTCGCAATTATTCACCAAAGTTGCAGCAATGCTTCGGTGGGAAAACATGACGGATATTCGCGATAGTGTTGTACTTGGTTAGTTGTTTTGCAATAGGTACTTTTCGTGGCTTTATAGGCTTTAAAAATGTTTTTTAGAACTATGCATCTTGTTTTCCAGGAGTCGGATCCATGAGTGCTGTAGCATTTGAAGGTTTTTTGGAGGACCTGAATCAACGAGGGATACTTCGAGACGCAATGGAAAAGAAGGCTGGGAGCACTGATTACTTGACAAACTTTTTTGATTTTTGCGATTGTTTTGTTTTTTATTTACCTTCCTGCAAAGTGGTTAATTTTAATGGATTATAGTTGGAAACTAATGTTCGACGCCGAAAGCGAAAGGATCTTTTACGACTACAGCTTATTCGCATTATTGAGGTTTAGTTTGATGAAATTTTGGTTTTTTAGCAAACTATTATGAGAATTGGATCTATCGATTTAGGTTGCGGTATTTCGTGGTCTTCTCGAATGTACAATGCTCGACGCTAATGGAACCTTGAACAGTTTGCTTCTTGACTTCGTGGACTCGATGAGGGCTAATCTCGAAAACGATTTGGTAGTGCTTTAAAGTGGAAGAGGTATATTTTTGTCATAACATTTCTAATTTCAGGATCGTGACATAGCTGTGGTTACAATGATGCGTCTGCATTTTTCGAAGCTTGTGGCCGTATTGATTGATGGTGTCGGTACGAACAATAGGACTAATCTGATACCAGACGAGAAGAAGCAGAGTCTTTTCTATCTTTTCACTGGATGGTGCAGTCGAACTATAGCTGCAGATAAGAAGATTCATGAGAATGAAGTGAGTATTCCAAGTATTATATTTTTCTAAGCTATTACTGCCTCGAAATTTATAAAAGGATTACTTGGCCGACTAGGTTTTCATATCGGGAAATTAAAAGCCATTATGCTTATAAGGGCGCGTGTGGCCTAGCGGTTGGAAGCGCCCTACGACAGACACGTAGAATCAATCCGCGCGGCCGTGGTTCACCAAGACTTCCCTCCTTACGGTGTCTGTAAATTGGTGCCAGACTTATATGGGAGGATAGCAGCACTAGCTCGATACATCTGTGGGACATCGCGAGTCATTGTAAAGGCCAGATATGCATTCAAGCACTTCTAACGATGCTTAACGAAGTCGAATGCATGGCGCATCCCTCAGGGATTAATCCACGCCGAGAACTTTATCATTTTTTAATGCTTATAACTGAAAGCTCAGATTTGTATATTATGTCTTGCTTTTATCACAAATGATCCTCTCTTTAGTGCTCTACAGTGGACCTAGCGATTTGTATTCATTGTTTTTGTGGCATTTTTTAATTCTTAGGTAGGATCATATGTGGAGCAAAAGGCAACCCTTGCTATGACACGTTTGCTCATGTGCGGAAGAATATTTGAAATGCAAAAATCCATTGGTGAAGATGGATATCTCTACGGCTGGCTTGAAAAGCTTGTGTCTAGTGCAAACGCCACGGTAAATTTCTCTTCTTTTCCTCTTTATTATACTTTCGTTGTACATGGAAGAGTCCCATCTTTACCATTGGTGGAGCTTTCCATAAAATGGTTTTAGAACCTTTTTAGAGGCTGTGTTGGTTTTTTTTTAATTCATAACTTGAATGTATTGATTTTAGATGCAGGAAGAAGTGGAAGAAATGCTGGCGTTGATGTTAGAATTAAACGAATCAAGTCAATTATTGGATTGGCTTATGTCACAGTCCTATTCACAACCTAATTTGGTGGCTGCGAAGTGCTTTAGAGCTCTAGTTCGCGTGTTTTCAAGACGAGATTTTCCTTGTGAATTTATATCACTATTCGTTCTTTGTCAAGCAATGCTCGGTGATGCTTCTGTAATAGACGCAGCTGTCCATATGATCGAAATCCTTAAGAGACAGTTTCTTGATAAGTAAGTTACCATCGAAACTTGCTTACATATTGCATGATCCAACATCATATGCCATACGCCATAGGGAAAATCAGTACTCCTTTCAATCATTTCCTCGCGTTCATCATTCACGAAGGGCTAATGAATTTTTTGCATGTGGTTCGAATGCTAGTTGGAAGTTTTCCGTCTTCGTCACGAATATCGTTGAATGGTGGTCGAGTCGATTCTCCCATCAATCCTGAGGTAGACGTGATAAAGCATTGCCAAGTGAATTAGAAATAATGAGCTTGTTCGAGAAAAAATTATTACCGATTCCCAGACCCGGGAACTATAAGAGGCTTGATGGACCCAGTGTGTGGTCGAGCCATTTCCAGCCTGGGTTTAGCTATCTGCGGATTGAGCAGGATCACTACCACTGTGCCAACAGCTCCCACTATTGTTATTGTTTTTTTTATTCTATGGTTCTCGTTTTTGTTAAGGATACTATTTTAATACTGTAATCTATCGTGTAGTTTTTGATTTTTTCCATGAATATTTTTTTAGTTCAAGCAGTGCTGTAGTACCACCACAGTTGGCATCGATTGCTAGCATCGGCTCGACATCTACTTCTGCCCAGCTTAAATCTCAGATTATGTCGCGACCGCACAATCATTGCTTCCCCATTGATCAGCAGTCCGTTTGCCGCAATCTTGCCAATTCGTACCCGCATCTCACAATTACAATATTTAGCGGTAGGAGACGTTATTACTAAACTTTATCTAGAACCTCCCATCTTAATCACCATCTATATTTATATTATTTTCTTGTTAGTGAGGAAACTTCTCGGTTTAGTTTATTTACTGTGGAAGCCAATGTTAATCGTGTTAAAATTTGAACATTTTTAACAAGATATGAGCAATTTTTAGGCTTCTCAGATTTTTATAGCTACAGACTCATTTTTAGTTTAAAAAAATGCCGAAATTGAAAAGTCATTCTTTCAATCAACCTTGGCATTACTAGTGGGACTAACTTTTCTTACGATCTCTCCTTGATAAGTTTACACGAGGTCGTTAACACGTATTTTGATGTTCTGTGGCATTTCCTTTCATCACGACTGACGTTGCTGGTCGAATCGACTCTCACTAGAGTCCTGAAATAGCGCGGCTGGTTCCCGATCCCGGCGGGTTGAAGCACCATGCTCGTGATGACCGACATCACTACTACTGTGCTGTACGCCCTGGTTTCTTTCCTTGTTGTTCGGTAATATCGTGTAATTTCATTGAAAATGTGTAGGCCAATCTCTGGTCTGTCAAAAACGACTTGCCGTTCTTGTTTTCAAGGAATGAACCCACACGTATTTTGTTTACACTGAACGTTGAGTGAACCTCACTGAGATCGGAAAATTAGCCAATCAAGACGAGCCTCTTGAGAGCTCATGGAGCTCGGTCATGAGAAATACAAATGTGGAAACAAACTTTAGTGCTCGAAATAGTAATCCTATTCATGATTATTAACCTCGGAGTTTCTTTTAGCTTAGAATGAATATAGTATGATGTGATTTTTAAGCTCACTATGAGAATGATCGATTTTACTTCAGGGGTATATTTTGTTTCGTTGCTTTCGTTGACAACCTGTAGTGATATGTGATATAGTGATATAGTAATAGAGTGATACATATATGTGTATATGTATGTGTTAATATTGGGCACATCATTACAATCACCAATTAAGCTTTACAATGTTGGGAATACTTTTCAGAGGTTTCATACCGTCTAGAGGGAGCTAGGATTCAGAACAGAACGTACCTACTTTCGTTGTTGCTGCCATGGATAGAGAATATTGAGCTTGTTGATCCAGCGGTTGGAGAAGATTGTTGGGAAGGTGTGGTATTATATTGCTTATTTATAGGAACCACTAGGCAGCATACATTATTCATTTATCTATACGAATTCACATTATTTATTTATCTACATTATTTCTCATCACATATCATGCGAATCCCACCACTTTTTTCGTCTACTGCGATATACTATAATTTTTGGATCTACTAAGGGCTTCATCTACTATGTGAGGATTTAGTCTTCGTTACAAATGTTCTTGAAATCTGATCGCGTAGATTCTTTCTGGAATCCCAGAATAGCTGTGCTAAGGTGTTTCTAAGTGTTTACCACACATTCTCTGACCTCACACATAAGAAGGAGCGTTCCTCGTACAAGTCGACCCAATTTGCCAACCCAGGATGATAGGAGCTTGTAGTAGAAGGTATTGAACCAGTTGATATAGTGCACTGCTCTAACCCTACGCTGTATGTACCTTTTCTGCATGAATCAGATAATTTAAAGTACCGTTGCACCTTTGCAAGACAGAAGACTTTTCTTGTTCAAATTCTTCAATCATTTTTGTTTAGGTCCTAGAGGATGGGGATCTGAGGAGGCAACGCATTTGCTACTAAATAATCTCATGTACTTGACAGTTTATCTGGCTCCGGATCATGAGAATGAAATTGCTGAGCTTTGGCGCGCGCTTGCGTTGTCGTTTCCGGCAAACTTACCAGTCATTCTAAACTACCTCTACATTGTCACCGTTCTGTCTTGCGACACATTTCTGCCTTATGTGAGTTGAGCGATGTGAAAAATGTGATCGACAATGATACAAGAATTTTTCTAGAATCTCGTTTTTTATTAGGAAAAGGGAAAAAATAATTTATGCAAACGTCTTTTAATTTTTCTCAGTTTCACAATTCAGGCAAAGCGGATTAGCGTAACATTGGCTGGGGTCGTTGGAAATCGCATCGCTGCTCTTCTTTTGGAACAGTTGACCATGTCGTTTGACAGTTCTCGTTTAATTCTTGAAAGATTCGATAGAGCTCCATATTATCGTTGGAAAGATGATGTCGAAACTAAAAAGGTGATCTTTGTTTTTAAACAGTTTTCTTGTTATTTTAACTTCATGTTTTAATGTTAATCGTTGGCAGGATTCGGTTGTGGAGGTGAGTTTACCGGTACGACAATCCCCGTTGGGTGATCGCCTTCGTGAACCTTCTGAAAACACTTCTAAAGAAGGCGTACGCCTATTGCCCATGCCAGCCTATAGTGGATATTACTCAAAATTATGCAAATATTTACCACCAACCACGCAACCAGTGCAATTTTTCACTAGGTAAGATGTTCGTAACATTAATCCTAGGTCTATTGGAACTATGGAATTTAGCTCGTTGGTAATGATAAAACCATCGTGCTTTTAGAAGTCAAGTATCGTTACTTTTGATATGTGATATAATTCGTACTTCCTCTGACGTTGACTGGAATGAAGCAACTCCACGTATTTTCCATACCGCGGTGTTGTCCCTCGATTCACTTCGACCTGCTCTCTGCAGACATGCAAGGCAGGTAAGAAGTGCCATTATCTGACGTCTCTTCCAGGAGATGCTGCTGTGTTTTAGCAAGCTCGGGAATTCTTTCAGCGAGCATGAAAGAGTGGAAATATTGGCAGTAGTCACTTTGGTCACACGGAAGTTGTTGATTTATGAGGATTTTTAGATAATTATCAACATCTCTCTCCTACATGCGGATAAGGATACCTTGGCACATGTATCTGCTATGCTGTTGAAGCATCAAATGTGCCGCTCCACTTCTGATGACAACAAGTTCAAGACTCCACCCACGTCGTTTTGTGATCCAGAAGTGCCTAGAGGAATTTCTCCAACGTTTGCAAGAGTGGCCAATGAGGAATATCGAAACTTACTATTAAACAGTAATACGCTTTTCTCCTCCCAAAGTGATCTCATTATGGCCCTCGTTTTTTGCCTTAGTGAAAAGTGAGTTCAGTTAGAATTCTTTCCTTTTTGGTAGCTTTTCATTGTGTTCTATATATGATTGAGAAAACGCGTCTCGATGTTCTCGAGAGATAATTCGAAATATGGACTGTTTTGTACACATTTTTGGGTGTGGGAAAACATGGTTATCATTTGTGGTCCTGCTTTTCAACTTTATTGGCTTATCGGAAGCCTTAGTCTAAGAAATACAATTTCCTCTAGCTTTTTGTCGTTTTTATATCTCCTTATTTTTAGTATGGGCAGCCCTTTATGGTCCAACGAAGATGCCACACCACGTTGCTGGAAAGTGCCTAGTGCAGCGCAACTCACTTGCCTTGTATGCCTACTCCGAAAATATTTTTTTCATTTGTTTTCGAGAAATTACAAATAAGCACCTTCAGGTTCGTCACTTGGCCGAACTTATGCTGCCCATTATACCATTATTACCTGTTGTGTGGACCCAGCTTGCAATGCGAATGGCTCTTACCACTACACAGCGTCATGCTGCAGGGCGGTGTTTCCAAGTTTGTTTTTTTTGCTTTGATTTTTCATTCGTTTAAAATTCTCGCATTTTTTGTGTTTCCTCGATCTCTACATATCATGTCTTCAGATTGTATCAGCCCTATGCCAGCCACCTGGAACATGGATACCGTCTTTAATTAGCAGACTGGTGGAAACCGCTGGAGAAACGCATGATGAGACACAAGCCTATGTCACAGACTTGCTGCTATGTCTAATCAGCAGCGCTCCTCATTTAAATCCGGTACTTAATATTCCATTTAACATTTTGATACAAAAGATATTACCTATGTGATAATTGGTACTGAAATAGAACAGGAATGAATTTTGCGTCTGAATTTTATTCACACACTGGTAGCTATATATCTCCTGTAAGATTTAGTTACGGTTAAACGGTTAAACGATTAAGGATTGCAAGGAAAAGAGGTTCCATAACGTTGTATTAAGCTTACTTTTAGACGTCTATTATAAGCAAATGTAATGTATTGCGTACTTGTTCTTCTTACGCTTAAATGTTGGTAAATGATTTCTCGAAATGGTTTTTCAAGTTGGAGCTTTTGTGTTTATCTAGAAGGCTGTCGTAATTTTTAGCTTCTTGATCCTCCACTTGTCTCATCGGTCTCTCCCACTCATACACGATCTACTTCTTATACACCAGCTCTTTTGCGGCAGTCTTTACTCAACCAACGACTACACCAGGAGCGGAAAGGTGGGAAATATGTACAGTTTCACTAACCTTTGTTTAAAGCAGTATATAACTTTTACATTTTCTTAAAGATGCCCGATTATCTTTGCTATTATCCGAGAACGACTCTAACCTTGGAGTTGCTCTTATGAGGAGCAAGAGCGCAGATCAACTTAAAACGGAACCGGAAGGAGATGAGGTTAGTTACTCGAGTTTTCACCGCTGTTTTTTGGAGTCCTCACCTCTTGTGATTTTAGAGATTTTAATAGTGTAACATTTGTGATTTGTGGAGTGAAGAACGTTAAAAAACAAGTTGACTTTTCTTAATGGTTTTTGGTGGTGGAAGTTGAGGTATTTCTGGATATCTAGATGCGATATTTAGCAATGAGTCTGTTCCCAACATATTCATCTAGGCTGAATACTACGAAATTTCCATTCAGAAGCCCATCAAGGGTAAATCTAGACCAAGGTAAAGGCTAGCGAGCTACCCATTACTATTTTCTCGTCAGAGATAGTAAAAAAATTCATGATACGAATGACATGATGCTCTTCATATCAAGCTTACCTTTAACTCGGCCCTGGGATTGTGGCGATGATCTACGAACACAGCAGAGCGGGGTTCTTGGGACCAAAGGAGAAAAAGTTTGTTGTCCAACAAAATACCAGTTAAGCAAAAATAGTGCTGACTGTGTGTGAGGATTTTTTTGTGAAGACTTGAATACCATCTTTAACGATAAAAACGTGTTGGGTTTGTAAATTGGAAGTAAAGTGCTTTTCAGAAATTTTCCGTAGGCTTTCCTAATCATGTCAAGAACGGTGGGTTGACCATTAGATAATGGGCTTGTTTTTGTAAACGTTATTTTTAAACACAAAGCAAGGGGCACAGTGGTGCAGTGTGTAACACGCGAGCTCTCGGAGAGAGTAATCGTGGTTCGACCTGGCTTGAGGTCCGAGTTTTGCGAACATCTCAGCATCGTTGTGGTTGTATTTCACATCATACCCTGCCGTGAAAAATTATGGTAGACAGCAAATAAAAGGTTACCATTGTTATTTCTTTACTTTTCTGAGCATACTATGTATTTCCTCATTCTATCTATCTGTATAATATTTATCAACCTCTATCTGATCTATTCATACCAATATCTATTTTCTATTTGCCTAAAACTTAAAAGAAAAGGGCAAAAATGTTTCTTTTTCAGGAAGCCATTGCTCGAATGCAGATCTGCGCCATAGCAGTCGCACTATTGGAGAGCGGAGTGGATAACGAATTCCTTCTCTCACTCAATCTCCTCGAAAAGGTGATTTTTATAGAATGACTAACCTTCTTCTTCAACAGTAATTGTACAAAATCCATTTCGAATCGGAAATATGTGGCATGTTATAGCATTGTGTAGCATTACTAACGCGTATACATCAGATTTACCACTGCGTGCAGTCGATATCGACCAAATTGGCGATCGCTGCGTGTTGAGGTTCTGGTTATTGTTCACACACCTCATCCTTTCGACAGGAAGGTCACGCGAACATGATTTATTGCCAAAAATGAGACCGTGTCTACGGTGACACTCAGCTGTTGTTGGGATTATTATTTATTTATATAGCCTATCTTATTACATATTGTGCCGATCCAAGTATTATGTTTCGTTACTTTGTCTCCATCACCCACTACAGTGTTCGAAATTCGGGTATATATTCAACCATTGCTTGATTTTACCTTCTTCATGGACATTTATTCATCGAAAGGAGCTTTTTTTAGGCCTGTCTGGCACCAGTTTACATACCTCGAAGTGATGAGGGTTTTAGTTGGCTCTGGGTAACGTGTATTGCGTTGTCCATGCATAGCACGGCTTCTCTAGGCTCTGCGTTTCTCATTTTCGTGTCGTGAAATTTAAAGTTGGGCGTGAATATCACGAGTTTTGCGTGAGTTTTGCATTGGAGGGAAAAACATCGTATAGGGATATTTGTTTAGAGCGCGGTTAGCACAGTAATAGTGATGCCGGTTATCATGAGCACGGTGTAGTTCGATCGATGTGCATTAGCATTACCAGGCCTCTCATCCCTCCGGAGTCAGGAAATTGCTGCGGGACTTGTCCGAGAGAAAACTACTCTCTTCAGTCCAGTTGGGGCGCTCCAGCTCGGCTATCTCTGGATTCCGAGGAGAATCCACCCACCAGCGTTCTACCACATTTAAGATGAAATGGAAATCCTCAAGCAGCAGCCGAAACCACACGTAGAAGAAAATTGGAAGACCTTCTTGGATTATGCGAGAAAGAGAATCGAATGTCAAAAGTGCCGAGGTCCGCCCAGTATAAAAAATACGAGATCTATATTTTGTTCCAGCACATAATGAAGCAAAATAGTCAATAAAAATTTGTTCTATCTATGAGCTTTCAAGGCTTGATAATATTTTTTCTACTGTGGTTAACGTTTCGGTATCTTCGCTATCTTCGGAGCCGCAATGTTTCGAACCATGGTTCTTTGTAGTCAGAGCGAGTAGAATTTAGTGGAATGGAACACCCGAGCACAACTGCTATCAACAGACAGTCAATCAGCAACCGACCTGTACAAGCGGCCATTGCCGAATGAGGCTACTTCAGTAGAGCAGCAAACTTCGTTCGGCGTTCATTGGTGCAACTATGAGGAGGAAAGCTACATAAACGAACATCTGTGGGCAGTTGACTCGAATCATCTCGGCTCCGAGGAAAGTGAAGACGCCGAAGCGTTTGCTACAGTCGCAATTTGGTATCAACCTTGTGTAATGTCGTAAATTGAACAAAATATTATTGATAATTGATGTCGAGGTTAAATGAAAGTCGCCTTTCAAAAACTTAGACAACCAAAGCCTAAGTGCGACGCCGAAGCTCGAAGCACATGCAGCGTTTCAGAGTAAAGTAGGAGAGTACCATAAACAGGAGAAACACTTTTTCATTGGAGACAACTGCTATCTGTAAGAGATGGACGTAGTGCACCCCAATTTCAGTTTAAAAGTTTTTTTTTTTCCACAAATACAACTAAAATTACCGCGCCGTTAAGATTAACACCCGTAATTTCGACATCGGGTGCTATGTGAAGCTCTCTTGAAAAATAAGTTGTTCTATATTGGAATATGTTTTAGTCTCAGGGCTCGTTCGAGCATAAGGGTGAAAACCTTGGGAAGATCCAGGGTACTTGAACTCGTCATCCTTGTTGGCACGCATTCATGTCATCTGTGAATTTCAATGGCTCGACTAACATTGGGGTTCAAATTGAACTGGATGTTAAGTATTCTAGACTTAGGTGATCGATACACAATGTAGTTATGTTTCCTCGAGTTTCGATACGACAGGTAACAAAAATACTATAACAAGAAAAAAGAGGATCAAAACGTTTAATTATCAGTTCTGCTCACTTGGATGAGTGTCTGCATCTGCACGTCATAATGTGAATTGATAATGAGTGGCTTCACAGTTGTTTCCCTTGTTCAGCAAAATCTGTATAAAATCCCAATTCCAACAGAGAAACACCAGTACAGATCTTCATGGAAAGTGCACTCAGGATTTGTACAGTTGGCTTCACCTCTAGGAAAATTTTAGACCAATTTGTTGCACCCAACAACTTCATCTCCAGTGTTTTCTTTCTGGCAAGAAGGATGAAGAAACTAATTTCTCAACGATCTGTATGCTCAGTTTCTTAATTTATCCTACAGAATTTTGACTGACGAAAGGTACTCATCTCCATATATCTCAAGAACGTTGTTTATAGCTAAATTTCGGGACAAAGCAGGATTTATAAAGATTTTTGGTGTTGGGAAAATTTAGAGTCTA